TTTGACACCGTAACCCCCTATAGCTAAATGAAGCAGTCTAAATTTGCCAACTAAAGTAGGGATTGAAAATCGTATTAAAATCTAACCAACCAGTATCACTTTAATTGTTTATGTACTTATTATTGTAGTATTTATTTTGTTTGGATATTTATTATAGCAATTCTACAAATACCTAACGATCCTATTTTCCGTTAGAATTTTATTTTTTCCCCATTTAAGAAATATAAAAATCCCCAAACAATATTTACTTACGCGTTTTTTCAGATTCCGTTGCTGTATCGTCTGACCTACCCTCAGACTCAGAGTCAGAATCAGAGTTTCCGCCAAAAAGGCCTGAAACAAAATTCTTAACAGTATTCCAAGCATTTCGAAACCAGGACCATATTCCACGCTTTCGCCGACTGAAAGAAACATGAATAAATAAACTCGTTCTGTTATTAACGTGAAAATAAATATAAAACTTCATGTACAGTAAAACCGGTGATCAAACATGTCGACCGTTGTTTAATTATAGTTGTGTTTCAAATTGATCTATGTTTGCAAGAAAACCTGGAACAGACATGTCGTCCGTTGTTCAGATATGTTTTAATGTGATCTATGTTTGCAAGAAAACCTGGAACAGACATGTCGTCAGTTGTTCAGATATGTTTTAAAGTGATCTATGTTTTGTTTGCAAGAAAACCTGGAACAGACATGTCGTCCGTTGTTCAGATATGTTTTAATGTGATCTATGTTTGCAAGAAAACCTGGAACAGACATGTCGTTCGTTGTTCAGATATGTTTGTGATCTAAATGTACTCGTTATCAGTTTACTGATTGTTTGAGATGCAGAAGTTTAATAAATCATTAGAACAAAAAGTTAAGACTGGTAAGTGAAAATAAGCCTTATGTTGCTACATGAAAGCGAAGTATTTGAAATGTAAAAACCTGTCTCGGAAATATATTTGAAGATACTTGAATGAATAATTTTGTAAGCATTATTAATTGTAAATAATTTCGATTTATTAGAAATAATTATTTCCTGCAGTTAATTATATGACAAAATGTATATTTTTATTCTAAGTCCTTTACTGAATATTTAGTGTTTAAGTTACTGTTACTACTTTATAAATGACAAAGAAATGTATTTCCTGATGTAAAAACAAATAAAGTTGATGTGAGGTTAAAAAACATTTAATATTAAGGCAAAGCATTATTAAGAAGTTGATGTGAGGTTAAGAAACATTCAATGTTAAGGCAAAGCATTATTAAGAAGTTGATGTGAGGTTAAGAAACATTCAATCTTAAGGCAAAGGATTATTAAGAAGTTGATGTGAGGTTAAGAAACATTCAATGTTAAGGCAAAGCATTATTAAGAAGTTGATGTGAGGTTAAGAAACATTCAATATTAAGGCAAAGCATTATTAAGAAGTTGATGTGAGGTTAAGAAACACTTAATATTAAGGTAAAACATTATTAAGAAGTTTATATGAGGTTAAGAAACATTCAATATTAAGCCAAAACATTATTAAGAAGTTGATGTGAGGTTAAGAAACATTTAATATTAAGGCAAAGCATTATTAAGAAGTTGATGTGAGGTTAAGAAACATTCAATATTAAGGCAAAGTATTATTAAGAAGTTGATGTGAGGTTAAGAAACACTTAATATTAAGGTAAAACATTATTAAGAAGTTTATATGAGATTAAGAAACACTTAACATGAAGGAAAAACATTATTAAGAAATTTATATGAGGTTAAGAAACCTGATTAGCAAGTTAATGTGAAGCTAAGAAGCTCTTTTTCTGTCATATTTTAAGAGCGTGACAAATTCTTTGTCTTTGTTTCTTACCTGCCGGACTTGGGGGAGAGTTCAACACGATTTACAGTAACAGCATATTTCAGAACTTCTGATCCGAACCGTTCCTTGACGTCATCTGCAACAAATATGTAAACAGGGTATTACTTTATAAGACTTCCGTCAAGTAAGACGTTATCAACATTACTCTTCAATTGTTCAAAGAACGACAACAATAAGTAGTGTTTATAGCAGTAAAATTAAGACATTATCAACATTACTCTTCAATTGTACAAAGGACGACAAAAATAAGTAGTGTTTATAACAGTGAAATTTAGACATTATCAACATTACTCTTCAACTGTTTATAGAACGACAACAGTAAGTAGTGTTTATAGCAGTAAAATTAAGACATTATCAACATTACTCTTCAATTGTTTATAGAACGACAACAATAAGTAGTGTTTATAGCAGTGAAATTAAGACATTACTAACATTACTCTTCAATTGTACAAAGGACGACAACAATAAGTAG